TTAGCAGCGGTTAATAAGGAGCCGGGGCTGCAGCCGCCCTCTCTGCTCCTTCCCAGCCGGGCTGCGGGGCTGAGCGCCCGCGGGGTGCGGGCTGGGCTCCAAGGGGTCCCCACAGCAGCAGGAGGTCGGTGAGGGGTGCTAGGGGTCCCCTGGGCGAGGGAAGAGTGCTGGGGGTCCAGCGTCCCACAGCCATGAGCTGTGGGTGCTCTGGGCTGGGTGCTGCTGGGGCAGGTGAATCTCTGTGCTGCCTCTTCTCCCCCTGCCCCGTGTTCCTGCACTGGGCAGGCATAAGTAGAAGGAGCCCTCCAGGTCTCAGAAAGCCTGGGTGCTTCCCTCAGGTGTGGGATGTCCCTCAGTGGGTTTGCTGGGACACTCTGCAGAGCAGCTGTATCCCAAAAAATCACGAGGCTGAGGTGGCCCTACCTGCCCTGTGCTCCTCGGCACGGAAAGAGGGAATTGATGTGCCTGCTCTCCCCTCTCTGCTGGCAGAGGCACAGGCTCCCTAGAAGATGGGTGACTGGGATTTCCTGGAGAAACTGCTGGACCAAGTCCAGGAGCACTCGACTGTGATCGGGAAGATCTGGCTCACCGTGCTCTTCATCTTCCGCATCCTCATCCTGGGCCTGGCCGGGGAGTCCGTGTGGGGGGACGAGCAGTCGGATTTCGTGTGTAACACCAAGCAGCCGGGCTGCACCAACGTCTGCTATGACAAAGCCTTCCCCATCTCCCACATCCGCTACTGGGTGCTCCAGTTCCTCTTCGTCAGCACCCCGACCCTGATTTACCTGGGCCACGTTATCTATCTGTCCCGGAGGGAGGAGAAGCTGAAGCAGCAGCAGAGTGAGCTTCGGGCTGTCCACAGCAAGGACCCGAAGATCGAGCAGGCCCTGGCAGCCGTGGAGAAGAAGATGTCCAAGATCTACGTGACAGAGGACGGGCGGCTCAAGATCCGAGGGGCGCTGATGTGGACCTACATCATCAGTGTGATCTGCAAGAGCATCTTCGAGGCTGGTTTCCTCGTCGGCCAGTGGTACCTGTACGGCTTCTCCATGGTGCCCCGCTACGTGTGCAAGAGGGACCCCTGCCCCCACCAGGTGGATTGCTTCATCTCCCGCCCCACCGAGAAGAGCATCTTCATCATCTTCATGCTGGTGATGGGCCTGATCTCCTTAATCCTGAACCTCCTGGAGCTCTTCCACCTCTGCTGCAAGAACCTGCTCAGCAACATCAAGAAGGTGTCGGGGCCGGTCGTACCGAGCCGGGAGGTCTTTGCCCAGGACATGGTGTCAGATCCCTACGCACCCAAGCACTACCCGTTCCTGCCCATGGCCGAGAGCCACGTGCCCTCCTACCAGACCTACAACAAGCTCTCCAGCGAGCAGAACTGGGCCAACTTCCACAACGAGGAGAGCCTGGCGCTGGGCAGCGGCAGCAGGCCCCTGTCGGACCCCTACGCCCCCCGGGCTGCTGAAGCCTCTGCCCCGGAGGAGAAGCCGTGCAGCCGGCCCGGGAGCTCGGCCTCCAAAAAGCAGTATGTGTAGTGCCAGGCTGGCCCTGGCTGGCAGGGGGACCTTCCCCTGTCCCACCTGCCTGCAGAGGTGCTGCCTGTGGGCAGGCAGCTGCCTCCTGCCTGGTGCTGTGCCTTAGGGACACACTCCCCTCCAGAGGAGGGATGCTCGGGAGCTGGGCTGAGCGCAGCCTCTGCTCTCTTCTGTTTTCCCCAATGACCCCACAAGGAAGGAAACTGCAGAAAGTTCCCCGGGACACCGTGTCCCGTGTGCCTCACTCTGGGAAAGGGAGAAATCCCTGGAGCCACCCTGTGGAACAGGCTGTCCCTGGGGCTGTAGCAGAAGGCTGCTGGCCATCGGGAGCTGCGGCTCGGCCGGACCCCAGAGCCTCTGCCGGGATGAGAGCCGGGAGCGTGGCCGTGGGAAGCTGCTCCCCTCCAGCCTCCACACGGAGCAGGCTGAGCCTGGGACAGACACGGGAAGCTGGGCTGGAGCAGCGCTGACAGATCCTGGCCACCAGCCCCGTCCCATTCCAGTGACCCTGGCATCTGTCCAGGGTTTGCTGCCGGAGCTGCCCCCTCCCCATGGGACACAGGGGGTTAATCCAGTGGCAGTTCTGTCATGACCGGCAGATCCCGATGGCTGCAGGGTCACCACGAGTGACCCAGGAGTGTGAGTTCCCTCTGCCCTCCCGGCCCTGGACCCTTTCCCATGGGATGTGTGCCTTTAAGTTATTTTTAACCTGCTGGCCTGAGCACGGAGCTTTCTGTCTTAAAGGTGCAGTTTGCAGGGGATCTGGGGAGCCCTGTCCATGTGCCTTGGAGCCCTTGGGGTTATGGGGAGGAATCAGACCAGCAGCTTCTGGTTCGGAGGGTCACTGGGTTTTATTACTTTGCACTAGTCATCTCCTGCTGTGGGCTGAGGTGCCGGGGGGGATGGAAGAACCAACTGCTGCCATGGGACCTGTCCCCCAAATTCCCCAGCCCACTGATGCTGTGAGAGGGGATGGTCCTGCTGTGACCAAAGGGCTGAAGGTCCTGTGTGACCCAGGCACGAGTGCAGGATGTGGGCACTGCCCTCAGTGCTGTTTCCTTTCCCTCTGGCAGACTCGGTGTTGCATCTTGTTGAATAAAGTTGGATGAATGAGAAAAGTTGAAGTGTGATGTGACTGTGCTTCCTGAAGCCTCCAGCTGATTCTGGGAGGGCAGGTGAGGGTTTGGGGCTGAGGGAGGGGGAAGGATGCTGTCCTGAGAGTGATCGGACTGGGGGGAGAGTGGGTCACTCATCCACTGAAAGCACAACTGTCCCTGCTGTAGTGTCCTGTCCCCTTGAGCCCAGCCTCAGCTCAGGGTTCTGACAGGGCTGTCATGTCACAGGCCCATGGTGGCCCCAGGCAGAGCTCAGTCCCCCTCCCTGTGCTGCAGATAAACCCAGCAGAGGCAGTGGAGCTGCTTGTGGCTGCATAATAGGTGGAAATGAGCTGCAGATAAAGGCACACAATGTGGCTGGGGCTGTTGTTTAGTTTCTCTGGCTGAGCCAGGCCAGGGCAGAGCCTGCTCTCTGCCAAGGGCCTCTCCAGCAAGGGTGGAACGGGCTAAAAATACCCTAGAGAAGATGAAATATGGGTGATACGGGGCAGTATCGGCCCCTGGAGGAAATGAGGAGGGAGGCACCCGGCTGAGCTGCCCTTGGGGCAGAGCCTGGGCTGGTGGCTGAGCCCACCCTTGGCTTCCTCCCTCCAGGGGACAAGGGGGGTGAAATCCCCCTGGGTGGGGGCCTGGGGTGCACACCACCAGCTCCCAGCTCTTCCCTCAATGAGGATGCTGGGGTAAACCCTGCCTGGGATAACTCTGCTCTGCTCCCACCATCTCCACAGGGACCCTGCCCTGCTCCCACTGTTGCCCGATGGGGATCCCCTGGGCCACCCTGGGGGGCCACAGCCCAGTGTTCCCTGGGCACCATCAGAGCTGCAGAGCTGCACTGTGGCTCTGGGGAGAGCAGCCCAGGGCCAGAAGGACATGCCCGTGTGACAGGGATGGGAGCAGCCGTGCCGTGTGTTTGCCCACCGCCGTGTCCCCGCTCACCTCCCGCTCCGAGACTCCTATTTTTGTTGGCCCAGGGCCAGAAGGACGTGCCCGTGTGACAGGGATGGGAGCAGCCGTGCCGTGTGTTTACCCACCGCCGTGTCCCCGCTCACCTCCCGCTCCGGGACTCCTATTTTTGTTGGCACGGGGGGAGCGTCACGCTTTTCCCAGCGACCCCGCAAGGTGGAAAACAAGACGGCCGAGCCCCTGGACACGGTGCCCAAACACGGCTCCACGTCCCACTATTGTTCCCGTGTTGTGACAAAGCGCTGGGGGCAGCCGGGGTGACCCTGCGCCGCCGGGCCCGCCGTGGCACACGCCAACAACAACAGCGAGGGGCTCACCCGCGGGGAGGGGGAGGCAGCGGGGCCGGGGCTGGCAGCACCCCCCCAGGAGGGAGGGCAGCCCTTAGGCAAATAAAAGTTTGGAGCTGATAAGGGCCCGGGCTGGCCCGGCACAGCCCTTTGGCACAGCCCGGGGACAGACAGTGGCTGGCCTTTCTCACACCTCCGCGCTCCCTCCTGAGCAAACAGGCCCCTCTGGTGCCTATCTGGGAACGGCACTCACTCCCCCAGAACCCAGCCCTGTACTGGGATGCTGAGCCCTGTGCTGGCACAGGCAGCCCGAGGGCTGCAGTGAGGGGGCTCCTCATGGGGCACCCCCTGAGTTAGGGAACACTTTGGGGCAGCTCTGCCAGCCTTGGAGGGGCCACACACTCCCTGGGACCCCAATTCCCTCTGGGGGTGCTGGTCTAACAACAGTCACAGCCCCCAGGAGCCCTGTGGCTCCTCTATAGAGATGTTTCTGCCCTCTTCCCAGTTAGGACCAGTCTGTGCTGGGCTCTCCCTGCCCAGTTCTGCCATGGTCTGGGGCAGAGGGCTGTCCTGCCTGAAAAGCTCTGCCAAAGACACTGGGTGAGCACCAAGGGGTTTATTTTTAAGCTTTCCCAGTGCACAGCAAACAGCAAGTGTCTAAATCTGGCCCGCTCTCAGGAAGAGCCACAGCAGGAGCAGAATCACAGCTGAGGGGGAGGACGGGCAGGGTGTGGGCAGGGCCATGGCAGGCAGGGCCACAGTGTGGCCCCCCTTCCCTGCAGGGGCCCTGTCCATGCCCAGGGCTCTGCCCACAGCTTCCCAGTGCCTCACTTCCCACACATCTTCAGAGGGAGCAGGAGCAGGCGGGAGCATCCTCCTCCCAGGCCAGGCACGGAGCCCTGTCCACAGCAGCACTCACCATCAGGGCAACCCCAAACCAGGAGCAATCCTGCCCTTTCCAGGCGCTGCCAGCGAAGGAAAGGCAAACCCCACGGAGCTCCCTTCCTCCCCGGGGTTATATTTAGCCCTCCACGCGCGGGCACGGCAGACAATGCACCCTGTGTGAGAACCGCGGGCCGGAGGAAACGCGCTCAATAGCCCCGACGACTTCCCGCATCCTGACATTGTCACTCCCCCACCCCGGCCACTTCCTCGTGTGGAGGCACCAGGACCGCGGTGCCCACCCTGGGATGGGTCCTACCCCTGCCAGCAGCTCAGGGCATCGTCCTGATGCGACACCGGGCGGGCAGGGGCTGCTGCCTGCAGAGCCGGGGGCTTTTCCTGGCATGGGAAGGTGGATGCTGTCTGAAAACAAGGAGCTGTGGTGGTCCTGGGGTGCTGGGGATGGGGAGTCAGCCCTGGGATGTGGCTGCTGGAAAAGGCAATGCCGAGTGGGAATGGAACACGTCCCACTGCAGCTGTCCCCAGTCAGGGCTCAAGAGATGTCACTGCTCCTCTCCCACGGTACTTCAGGGCCTTTGCCGGCCACGGAAGGAGCCACCAGGCCCGGCCTGGAGGGAGCCATGGCAGGAAGAGGCAAGTGAGACGTGAAGGCTGGGAAAGGACTCGGCTGCTCTTGGGAAAAGGGCAAAACTGGAGCCTGGGAAAAGCCTGGGCTGGGAGGGAGCAGATGTCCCCAGGGGCTGTGGGGGACGCGCTGAGGGACAAGCTGCCTGCTCTGCTGTGCACCCTCTGGGTCCCCGAGCCACGGGGACACCGCGCCACGGGCAGGGCCAGGGTGTCCCGGGATCACCACACTGCGCCAGGATGGGACACGGGAGCGTGAGTCCCTGCAGGCCCCAGCTCCCCCCCCCAGCTCCCACACTGCTCCTCTCTCCCAAAGTGTCATCATCCTTTTGGGAAGGGGACAGCCGGCCCTGGGCCATCCCCGTGCCAGTGCAGGGTCAATCAGAGTGTCCCCAGCCCTGCACAGCTGGTGCGTCCCTGTCTGATCTCACCGGACGTCCGCTGCGGCCATCCAGGTGTGCTGAGCGGCTGGGGGGGGTCTCAGTGCCCCCCATCCTGCACAGCAGCTGTCCCAGGCCCCTGAGCCACCCCAGGGAGCTGGGGCACAGCTGGCTCCCGGCATCCTGCCTCCGGAAACCGCCACCTGCTCCTCTCGTGAGCTGCTCAGGATGGACCCCAGGGACAAACCCAGCCCCGGGCAGGGCAGAGGGTCTGTCGGGAAGCTGCAGCCACCCTCGGAGCCAGCAAGGTACCAGGGCCCTGCCAAGGGCACCACAGCCACCTTGACCCCCCTGAGCCTGGGACATACCCACCATGGGCTGGGCAGGGACAGGGAGCACTTGTGGCTGCTGGATTCAGTCCCTGCCCCATGGCACTATGCAGCCACAGCTGGCTCTGGACACGGGGTTATCCCTGGAGCTGGACAAGCCTTGGAGGATGCTCCCCCACAAAATGCCAGCCTCGAGGCCAGGCATGGGACTCCCTGCCTGGGGACAGGCTGGCTGCTGGCTCAGCTCCTTGCCACACTCCCACTGCAGTGCCCAGCTGGGCACACCTGGATTACAAACCCGCTGGAACAGACCAAGGAGCTGTGTGTGAGCAGCCGAGGGCAGGCTCTGGAGGGCAGGTTTTTATGATAATGGTTTATTCAGCTTGGGAGGGCAGGTTTTTATGATAATGGTTTATTCAGCACAGCTGCCTCTGGCTCTTGGTGAGCCGCCGTGGCTGCTCACCCCAGCCCTGAGTGCCTGCCGGCTCCTATTCTCGTCCCGCTGGCGCTTCCCAGGCAGCACATTGTTGGGATTCAATGGGAGGAAGGGAGGGCTCAGGAGAAAGGCGACGGGGCTCGGGGAAGTGGCTTCACTCCTGTCCCAGCGCCTGCAGGAATCCACAGCCCCACAGCCAGGGGGACACACGGGAGTCCCTGGACACATGGGAAACAGCTGATGAAAAAACAGCTGGAAGCACGACAGGCAGCCACGACAGGCGCAGGGCAGGGGCTGCCCTGCCAGGTGCCA